GTATTTTATGTCTAGTTTCAGCTAACATTTCTCTAACTTCACATTACATGAATAACAAGATAGCTGTATAAGCTTACTTGGATATATATGTATATATTTTTTTTCCATAGTAACAGTGTTGTTGGAATCTATTTGCTTCAATCTGGAGTACTTTTGAATACCTTTCCAGGAAGTTTTGGCATATGAACTTTCACATTAGGAGCACAGTGGGAACAGAAGTCTGGTACTCATTTGTCTGACTACAAATGCATAATTAAAAGAGTCTGTCAGCAGGGGTCAGGACAATCAGTGTGCTCTGATGCTTCATGTAACAAAATTATTTTGTTGTTAAAACATACTGTAATTAGAGCATAATTTTAAACTCCATAGGCAGTGACTCATCAAGTTTTTTTTATTAAAATTCAATCCAAAACAAATGTAGTTTCTTACCTGTTGAGAATTTTTTTATTTTATATTTTTATGTCACTGTGTACAGCAACTTCTGAAATGAAGTGGATGATCTTTTACTGAAAATTAATGGTTTTTTTGGACAACAGTGTTGCTGAGCTCTGATGTAATAATATTGGAGATATGCATGTGTATTGACATCACATTTTAGGGTTTTTTTGGTACCAGAGATCGAACTCGGGACCTTGTGCTTGCGAGGCAGGCGGCGGAACTACTGAGCTAAATCCCCAGCCCACACATTTTAGTTTTAATAACCTCATCATTTAGAAACTTTACTGAGGACAGTGTGTGCTGTTAAATGATTATAGGTTTATTCTTTTCATATTCTGTATTTGTATCCTAGAAGTTTGATAGATTATTCACTCATTTAGGGAAAAAGCATTTTTATAGATGCAGGAGATCTTTTTTACCAGGTGCTATTATTCCTGTGACTTGCTGAGGAATTCTTTCATGGGGAAAGAGCTTAGCTTACAATTGGGAGATCTGCCCATATGGAGAAAAAAAAAAGCAAATCTCTGGAATCTTTTTTTTTTTTCTGTATCCAAAGTTCCTTAAATTTCTGTAAAGAGAAGACTTAGAATTCCACATAAAGAAATTAAAATAGTAAAATAAAGTTTGAAAGATTAACTCTTTGTTCTGTTTCTTCTGATATTTCACTAATTTATTTTAGTGCGATTTAGGATTCTCATGCAGGTGATTTCTTTGGCTAGGACTGCAGCTGTAAATGCTTTGTCTGCATTCCTGTGACTTGGACAAGGCATGTCTGCCTCAGCCTCCTTGGTAACATGTTGATAAGGGTAATAGTCCCAGAGTCATGGAGTTTAGTTAGGATTGAATGAGCTTATGTATTTACATTGCTTAGCATCACAGTTGACAAAGCAGTAGTGTTTCATAAAAGCTTAGTTGCCATTATGAGTATCATTTTCATTTTTAAATTTATCACCTGAGAAAGAGTTATTTGAAATTTATTTCTTTACTATATGGTTATCAAGAATACAGACCATAATAAACTATCATTAGTAATTGTGCCTGCCTGCTATTTGATCAGGTGTGAATGGCATTATAAAATTCCTTAATATGCTATTAAACCTTAATTTACTATATAAATAAAGCTATTTCATTTCTATTTTTTTGAATCTTCTCATCATTTTTGCCTGCCTTAAAGATTTGAATTTGCTATTTATACATATAATTATTTTTCTTTAGTCTTTACTGTCATTTTGCTCTGTTACATTGAGAAATAATTACTTTTAAAGTTACAAAAGAGACTTAAAGTACATGATCTCATCAGTTTCACCTTCTTGGGAAGCATTTGCTTTTTTATTTTAAAACTAAGTAAAAATGTTTATTTTGAAACATAACAGTGTAACTTTGTTTTGCTTTGCTTTTAATTTGCTGAATTGAGAGTCCACATTGGCCAGGGTATTTTATTTTAATTTTGTTTGTGGGGTTTTGTTTTGTTTTGTTTTGTTTTGTTTTGTTTTGTTTTGTTTTGTTTTGTTTTGTTTGAGACAGGGTCTCTTGCTCTGTAGTTCAGGCTGGCCTCAAACTTGGCAACAATCCTCTTCCCTCAGCTTCCCCTGTCGGGATCACACGCATGCATCACCATGCCTGGCATCGGCCACAGTGTTTTACAAGTCAAAAACTTATTCACTTAAGCTGCCAGTTCATTTGTAAGTCATTTGGCTTTTCTCTTCCCCATGTATATAAGTTTCTGTGACAAGACAATTTCAGTTTTCAAGCTTTTCTGAAATATTTTGGATTATAAATGTTTCTTTATTATCCTTGTGTTAATATCTGTATTGTATATCTCCCCTACACACACACACACACAATGACAATCACAATCACAGTCACACATGCATGCAAACTTCTAATGTTTTTGTTTACTAATTATAACATCAGTGTTCTAGGTTGGCTTTGTTGATTTTTCATTTTGTTTGAATTTGCATGCTTCTTTGCATGCCTGTTAATTTGATTGGATACCAGATAGTGTGACTTTTATCTGATTGGGTGCATATTTTTATATTCCTGTAAGGGACTCCAAGCATGCACTGATCAGTGTTCATTGAAGAAGTTGGGTGGGCCTTCTGGAGCTCTCCAGTCCTTTGTCCAGGACTTATCACAGTGAACCCCAGCTGCTTCAGTTTCCATGAACTCTTAACTTGGTCTCCATTCCAGGAGACAATGGGACCCAAATTCTCAAATGATTAAGCTGAGCAGTCAGCCACAGATTCACATTTTTTTCTGGTCTCTTTGCCAGCATTGCCCTTAGTTGCCTGACTTCCAGTGGCTTGACACTGCTGTTTCATATGTTTTGGTTGTTTCAGGTGGGACAGTGACTCTGGTTCCTGTTACTTGATCTTGACTGGATTTAGACAAATAGGGATGCTGTTAAATCCCACCAGATAATACAAGTAACTTTCATAGGTCTACCAAAGGGAGGGGGGAAAGATGAATACAAATACAAATTTTATTAGGGGAAATATCAACATTCTTCAATATAAAAATTAAAATCTGGATTTAAACGTTAATTTTTTTAGCTATAAAGTATTTGTGTACATTTTATATTGTTTGCCATGTAGACAACCCCAGCATTCCCAGTTTCTTGGTTGACTGATTCTAGTTTCTCATTTAGTTTTTCATGGTGCCTCCTAAGCAAAAAGAAGTTTCTACTAGCTCTAGTTATTAAATATTTACTTCCCAAGTATTTTAATTAGTATTTATAATACAGTCCCCTAAATTGAGAAAAAATTAAGAGAACCTCATTATTAATAGCATCTGTATTTTCTTGGATTTGGTTCACATTTTCAAGGTGGACATTGCTTCTTTTCTTGTTACATGTTTGAAGTTCAAGCTGCCCTGGAACTTCACAGCAATCCTCCCGCCTCAACCTCCTAAGTGCTGGGATTACAGGTGTGAGCTACCGTACCCAGCTTCCACATTGAGTTTTGCATTGGCTATTTTCGCAATCACCAAAAATCTAGCTATATGAAGATGTATCATTATCAGAAGGATTGTACTATGACCTAATAGTGAAATACACATACTTGGAGTTGTTTACATGTTAGCTAAGCACTGATTGATACTGTTTTCCGTAAATTTTTAAATACTCTCTGGGACCCTGTGAGCGCACTATGCTATCTGAATTCATTCTTTAAAAACTCAAGGGTGGTCTAATCCCTCCAATATATAAATGTATTTTTCTACTAGTGATAATATCTGAAAACAAAGTAAGAATATATATTTTAGTGTTAAACTTTTGTCTTCATTGGCTAAGCTAAGTCATACCAGTTGTAGTAGAAAGCTATTTTATTACACCAGTTTTATTTTTTAATTGTAATTTCACAATTTAGTAAAATAGTGACCTTTAAGATAAATGTCCAGCAGCAACAGGTACTATTTATTGTTTATCTGTGTTACTTTGTGCTGAGCCACATGCATCTTTGTTATTTATAAATATTTTTATATTTTAAATTATAAATTATAAATAAATATATATATATGTTATCTCTAAAACCTAAAGGAAGAGTCAGCTCTGAAATTAAGAAATTGTGCTGGGCATGTACAGGCTCATGCCTGTAATCCCAACATTTGGGAGGCTGAGGCCAAAGGATCACTATGAGTTCAAGGGCAGTCTGGAAGAGCAAATCCCTATATCTTCAAAGAAAAAAACCCCTGAAATTATTATGACTTAGGTGAAGGAGCAGTGTGGCCACCTCTCCTTCTATAGTTTAACAAGGCTTTCAGTATGAGGATGTTCCTTACTAGATGATTAGACACCATCAAGGAAATGGATTATAGTTCTCTATATAACTAGTATTCATGATGATATAAGGAAAATGTGATCTTACAGTTCATTTTTAAGGTATGATCTCATGGAAATACAGTTGGAACTAATCTTACATTTATTTTTCTTGTGATTATGGTGAAATGTTTCCTAATTAATACTTGAAGTATGTAAAACAAACAGCACTTCCTTTACACAGTAATGTCTATTTGCAAAAACGCTTTCTAATGTTAACTGCAACCAGTGTTATTAAAAACCACTGTAATGAAATGGAACTGTCACTGAATTTGAAAATGAAAACTTTGATTCAGCTTCTAAATTGACAGCTTATTTGCTGTGTGATGTTGATAAGTGGCTTGTTTAATTTTGATGACTATCTTCTCACCCATAAGTAAAACACAGAAATAGCATGCTTCTCAAAGAGCTTTCATATTTTAAGGAATGTACCATAGGTAAGTTTCATAACATAGTACATAGAAACACTACAGGAGTTGTGATTGTCTTACAGTTATAGTCTTAGCATTTGGCTTCGTGCCTGGTACATAGTACATACTCAACAAATATGTATTAAATTAGCTGTCATTTGACCCAGTAGTCCACACTCAGACCTTGTTTTTGGCCTAGAAAAACGTCCAAAAGGTGTGTGATGTCATCATAACAAAATAATGCAAAAAAGGCTGAAATAATTGACAGCAGGTGAATATTATGAAAGATATATTCTCTTTAAAAATATTTTTAATAGTATACTTTGCAAATATTTTAGGAGGAGCAAAATAGAGGCAAGCCCAATTGGGAGCATCTAAATGAAGATTTACATGTACTAATCACTGTGGAAGATGCTCAGAACAGAGCAGAGATCAAACTGAAGCGAGCAGTTGAAGAAGTGAAGAAATTACTGGTACCTGCAGTAAGTAATAATTTCTAAATCTTACATATAGGCCTCATCTTTTTAGTTTAATTTTAAATTATTGTAAGATTTTTTAAAAATAAAGAGCAAGTTTCTGTTAAAGGTTTTATTTAACCACAAAGTATAAAAAATAACTTATGACTCATTAAATGCAGTAGAATAGACAAACAGATATTGCACAGATTCTTAACTGCGGAAGTCTATTTTTATGATAGTAGTATAGGAGGAGGATCAAATCCAATTAGCCTACTTCTCAAAAATAATATTCAACTTGAATCATTGTATTTTAATGGGAGAATATAGATACATCATCAGTAGGGTGATGGAAGTATGTATGTATGAATGTATGTATTTATTTTTGTATTTAAGGAATATTCAGAAATCTACACAACTAAGGCTTCTGCTTGGTGAGTTGAGTAGTAGAAGCACATTATTTGAATTGCTTTTGAGTGTAAGATACTCTGCTAGTGTATCATCTTCCAAAGACATAATATTATCTCCAAGATAATAAAAATTACTGAGCTTTGTAGTTTGTGTTCTCATCCTCCACTCCCTTTTATTCTCTTTGGATTCTGTTCCTTTTTGTTATATAACTCTTTAGTAAGTTTAATTGAACTATCACCAGAGTGTTATCTTTTTTCAATGGGAAATGAAAAATTAGTGATTTTTCTGTTATTAAAATACTTTTTCATATGTTAATGAAAATATATGGAAATGTGGATTCTAACTTGCTGTTGAAAAAACTAGAGGTACTGCTAGTATTGTGACCAATAAAAATGTGTTGTCATTTACATAAATGAGTATGGCATCTGCTGTTTTTTACTTTCCATTATAGTCTATTCTTTATTTTCCTGACAGTCTGTTTTATAAATCTTAATTAATTTGATAAAACTGATTCCTTGGGAGAAAAGAATTTCATGTAAAAGCAGGCAGGGTAGTGTAAAAGTGAAGTCTGTTTGTACAATCTTAAATCATGTAATCTTCCTCCTTTTTCTTAATAAATTCTTGAAAAAGCTTTATTGAAGATAGAATTTTTGTAAACATATTAGGCTATTAGTTCCATGACCAGAAAAAGATTTTTTAACAGTAGACTTATATTACTAAATATAATAAAACCTTGGTTTGTAAGCATAATTTGTTCCAATGACATGCTTATAATCCAAAGTACTTGTATATCAAAGCAAATTTTTCCCATAAGAAATAATGGGAACTTTGGTGATTCATTCCAAACCCCAAAATATGCGTATAAAATAAAATACTGTAATACAATACAAAATAATAAAATACAAAATACAAAGATAAATAACCTGCACTTAACCTTGGAAAAATCTTCGTGGGTGGTATGAGGGATTTAAGAGAGAAGAGGGTTATTGTGTAGGATCACTTTCACTATCACTAATAGAATCACTGCTATTGGCTCAATGGAATCATTCTTTTCACGCAACTTTAACAAGGAACCTATCCAGTGCTTTCACCTCCTTTTGAGGATTTCGTGGAAATGACATTGCGTTGTTAAACAGATTCATTGGTCACAGTGCTGCAGCCTTTTTTGAGTGGTAGTTTTCTACAAAATTTCACAATTTACCACATTTACACGTTTCCCTGATCTCTTTTGAAGTGAGGGGTTCTACTTTTTCTCTTCTTCCTCTGCAGGAGAGATCTCCATAACCTCTTGCTGCTGGGAGACAACTGCCCACAATCTAGGGGTGGGGGTGGGTTGGGCATTGGCTCAGTTGTGATCATGTGACTTTTGGTGTCATATAGTAATATTGCAAGATATCGTTCATTCATCAAGTTAAAATTTATTAGAAATCCTTGCTTGTGTGGTGGTACACTCCCAGAACAAATTACTCACAGTCCAAAGTTTTACTGTATATCCAAAAATGTGCAACTCATGTTATACTAAATATTCATGTTATTATTGATATTTAAAAAATGAAAGTTACTCGTATGCAAAAGCTAAAAACAAGTGAGCTAGGCCTGGAAGTGCAGGCCTGTAATCCCAGCACTCAGAGGCTAAGGCAGAAAGATCGCAAGTTTGAGTCCAGCCTAGACAGTTTAGGGACTAAGCAAGATCTTGTCTCAAAAAGAACAAAAGGCTTGGAGATGCAGCTTAGTGGAAAGGCCCTGGGATCAGTCTCCAGTTAAAAAAAAAAAAATTGATCTCATAGATGTAGAAAGTGAAATAAGGTCTACCAGAGTGCTGGGAAAGAGAAGGTGAAAGGAGGGGATGATATACAAAGAGACTGATGAACAAATACAAAATTATAGTTAGGTTGGAGGAGTGACTATAGTTAACAGCTATTTATTGTGTATTTGAAAATAGCTAGAAGACAGGACTTCAAGTGTTTCTTTGTTTTATAAGGTTGCTATAATCTTATAAATTCCCCTGTGTTTCTGAAAGCATGCAGTTTTTTCACTGTACCATATAGCCGACATTCTTTCTCTTCTCTTAAGATTTGGGCAGTACCAGTGTCTTCTTGTCTCCTTCCTTTTGTACCTGGGTGATTGGCCTTGAGGTGTTTTATGAGTTCTCTTATTTTTATGAACAAAAGCTCCTGCCTCGCCTCTAGTTATTTTGTTTCTTAAAACTTGATTAATGGTTAAATGAAAATGTATATATATTGCTATGTAGATAAAAAGAAAAATTATAAATGCTTCCAAAAGAAGTCAGGAGGTTCTGTTATGTTGTAATAGTTTTTGCTTCGAATAGTGTCTAAAATGGTGGAAAGAAATGAATTAAGTTTCAAAAGATAAGGGAAGAAGGTACAATAATGTTCTATTATAGAGTGTGTTTAGAGAGTCACAATTCAGCTTTCTTGATTATATGAATGTGAGAAATCTTATGAAGTGCATGTTGTAACCAAATTAATGCTTTTCATGTTAGTCAAAAGAGTTTGAATTTTTTTTCTATGAAAGTTTGATCTTTCTGGAGAAGATGCAGAATAGAGTTGTAGTCTTAGAGGGTTTTTACTGGCAATTAATTAGTTTAGAGAGTAGGTCAAGTTATGAGGTAAGAGAATGGTTGTGTTGAGTGGAAAAAAAATGGAAGAGAGCTGCAGAACTTTGCAGTTTGTCATCTGATTAGATGTGGAAACCAAAAGGGGGAAAATTTGTGATGAATTGGGATTTCAAGCCTGAGGTATGAAGGGAAAAAAGATAGTACCACTAACAGAAACAGAGAATCAAGGTGAAAACAGTATGTTTATGAGGAAAGATCAACACCACTGATTCCCAACTTTTGGGTGGGCTTTTGTAAACCTACTGAAAACTGTATCTTTTCTATCCACAGTAACAGACAAATCTACAGAGTTTGCATTAATTTCAAAGCATTCATAAACCCGTAAGGATCCATATCTGTAAGTTCTTGGATCAAAGAAATTACTTAGTACAGATTGAAGACTCCTGCTCTAGGGGACTCCTCTTCCCCAATTTAAAAAAAAAAGTGGTGCTTTCAGTTGAGGATTGTGTATTGAGAAGGTTGTGAATCATTTCCTGGAAATTAAGAATAACTATATTTCACCTTTTATATAATTAATATGATAGAAACTTTATGCTTACTTAAAAATTCTTCACCTCTAGTAGGCATACAGAATATTACCCTTTTCCATTTCTTTACAGTTCCTGATAGCTGCATGCAAAATAGTGTTATTTCCAGACTGGAGTATTTAGTAAGCAGTGCATGGCCCTCCAGTTTTCTTTTCTGTACCTTTGCCTAAAGAAACTTATTCCAGCCAGTAAAGCAACAAAATAGTGGAGACTCAACCAGCCTGGGCTCCTGAGTAACAGTGCAGAGCACAGTCATTCTCTCTCAGCACATGAGATATATAGTGTGAGGATGAAATACATTTGTTAGATTAAACCATTGTGATTGGAGATTGTTTGTTCCCAGTGTAATGTAACCACTGTGGAAATCAGTATGACATTTCCTCAAAATCTAAAATAAAAAATTTCTTTTGAACCAGCTATTTACCTTTGTATATTTTCCTGAGTTATCATATTACAGTAGCACATGCATACTCATGGTTTATAGTGGCACAATTCATAATAGCTAGATCTTTAAAGTGACCTGTATGTCCATCAACAGATGAAGGGACAAAGAAAATGTGATATATGATACACATGTACACACACACGCGTGCGTGCACACAATGGAGTACTACATGGTCATAAAGAAGGATGAATGAGTCATTTGTAGGAGAATGGATGTACCTTGAATCCATAATGCTAAGTGAAATAAATCAGACAGAGAAGCTTAAATATCATGTGGTTTCTCTTATATGAGGAACCCAAAATATAAGTAATTTCAAGAGCAAAATAAAAGATAAATAGACAGTGAAATAGACCTTTTGCAAAGCAGAAGGGGATCTATAAAGATGGAGGCAGGGGCCAGGGATTTAGCTCAGTGGTTTCACCGCCTGGTGCGCAAGCGCAAGGACCCAAGTTCAATCCCTGGTACCAAAAAGAAAAAAAAAAAAAAGATGGAGGCAGGGGATGGGAAAGGGAAATAGAAAGAATTAAGATGTGATATATACATGTACCAACTCTCCAAGATGGATCTATTCATTGTATATTGCAGACATGTACTAATACATAAAAAGAGTTGTCCAACAAAAAAGGAAGGAGAAAACTGTCTGGAAGTTGTAATTTTGTTAATATCTTTCTACCTATTTTACATTGCTTAATTATCTAGGGTGTATTGTCAGTACCACTTTAAACCTTTAGGTTTTCTGAATCATTAGAATGTCTTAGGGCCGGGATTTAGCTCAGTGGTGCTGTGCCTGCCTGGCAAGCACAGGTTCCCGAGTTTGATCCCTGGTACCAGAAAAAAAATAAAAAATAAATAAATAAATAGAATGTCCTAGACTTGAGATTAAATAATTTTCACCCTGTTTCTTAAGTAATCTTAATTATAATGGAATACATTCTTACCTAGAAAAGTTAAAGTTTTGAGTTAAGGGCTGACAACTTTAGAAGAATTACTATTGTAAGTGTTGGTG